GTAGAGACGGGGTTTCACCATGTTGACCAGGATGGTCTCGATCTCTTGACCTCGTGATCCACCCGCCTCGGCCTCCCAAAGTGCTGGGATTACAGGCTTGAGCCACCGTGCCTGGCTCCTTCTTTTTTTTTTTTGAGATGGAGTCTTGCTTGGTGCCCAGGTTGGAATGTAGTGGCATGATCTTGGCTCACTGCAACCTCTGCCTTCCAGGTTCAAGTGATTCTCCTACCACAGCCTCCCGATAGCTGGGATGACAGGTGCCCACCACCACACCCAACTAATTTTTGTATTTTTAGTAGAGACGATGTTTCACCACATTGGCCAGGCTGGTGTCAAACTCCTGACCTCAGGTGATTCGCCTGCCTTGGCCTCCCAAAGTGCTGGCATTACAGGCATAAGCCACCACGCCTGGTGTCTTTATTTATGAAAAATTTTACTGGCTTTCCATTTATGGTAGTGATATTTTTTTTCTTTCCTTATTAAAATAGACTTTATTTTTTAGAGAAGTTTTAGGTTCACAGTAAAACTAAACAGAAAGCTTAGAGTTCTCATATATTCCCTGCTCCCTCCGCCCTTCAGTGTTCTCCACTGTCAATGTCCTATGCCAGTGGTACATTTGCTACAATTGATGAACCTTCACTGATACATTGTTACCATCCAAAGCCATAGTTTTCTTTAGGGTTTACTTTTGGTTGCACATTCTAGTGGTTTAGACAAATGTACAATGTCATGTATCCACCATCATAGTGTCACGCAGAATAGTTTCACTGTGCCCAAAATCCTCTGTGCTCCAACTATTCATCCCTCCCTCCAGCCAAACCCCAGGAAACCGCTGATCATTTTACTGTCTTCATGGTTTTGCTTTTTCCAGAATGTCATATAGTTGGAATCATACAGTATGTACCCTTTTTCAGGTTGTCGTCTTTCACTTAATAAAATGCAGTTAAGTTTCTTCTATGTCTTTTTGTGGTTTGATAGCTTATTTCTTTTTAGTGCTGAATAATATTCCGTTGGCTGGATTTACCACAGTATATTTATCCATTCACCTCCTGAAGGACACCTTGGTTGCTCCCAAGTTTGGGCAATAATTAATAAAGCTGCTATGAACATCTGTGTGTGGGTCTTTGTATGGACATAAATTTTCAACTCATTTGGGTAAATACCAAGGAGCATGAATATTGGATCATATGGTATGAGTACATTTCATTTTGTAAGAAACTGCCAAACTGTCTCCCACAATGACTATACCATTTTGTTTTTCCACCAGCAGTGAATGAGAGTTCCCGTTGCTCCGCATCCTCACCAGTGTTTAGGATTTTTAATCCTTTGAATAGGCATGTAGTAGTATCTCATTAGTATTTTCATTTGCAATCTCCTAACGACATGTGATGTTGAGCATCATTTCATATGTTTATTTGCTATCTTCTTTGGTTGAGGTTATCTGCTTAATTCTTTTGCCTTTTTGTTTTTTGTTTGTTTGTTTGTTTTTGAGATAGAATTTTGCTCTTTTTGCCCAGGCTGGTGTGCAATGGTGCAAGCTTGGCTCACTGCAACCTCCCCCTCCTGGGTTCAAGCGATTATCCTGCCTCAGCCTCCGGAGTAGCTGGGATTACAGGCATACGCCACCATGCCTGGCTATTTTTTTTTTTTTTTTTTTTTAAGATGGGGCTTCGCCATGATGGCCAGGCTGGTCTTGAACTCCTGACCTCAGGTGATCCACCCACCTCAGCCTCCCAAAATGCTAGGATTCCCAAAATGCTAGGCATGAGCCACCGCACCCGGCTATTTTTTTTGTATTTTTAGTTGAGATGGGGTTTCACCATGTTGGTCAGGCTGGTCTCAAACTGCTGAACTCAGGTGATCCACCTTCCTTGGCCTCCCAAAGTGCTGGGATTATAGATGTGAGCCATAGTACCTGGCCTCTTTTGCCTATTTTTAAATGAGGTCTTTTGTCTTCCTGTTATTGAGTTCTAAAAGTTCTTTATATATTTTGGACAGCAGTTTTTTATCAGGTGTGTCTTTTGCAAATAATTTTTCCCAGTCTGTGGGTTTGTTTTCTGATTCTCTTGAGTGATGTGGCATTTAAAAAAATAAAATTATTTTAAGTTTAAAAAGCAAGTCCATTTGGCCAGGCACAGTGGCTCACACCTGTAATAACATCAGCTTTGGGAGGCTGCGGAGGGTGGATCACGAAGTCAGGATATGGAGACCATCCTGGCCAACATGGTGAAACCCTGTCTCTACTAAAAATACAAAAGTTAGCTGGGCGGTGGCGCGTACCTGTAGTCCCAGCTACTCGGGAGGCTGAGGCAGGAGAATTGCTTGAATCCGGAAGGCAGAGGTTGCAGTGAGCCAAGATTGGGACATTGCACTCCAGCCTGGTGACAGAGCGAGACTCCGTCTCAAAAATAAATAAATAAAAAATAAAAAATTAGGCCGGGCGCGGTGGCTCACGCTTGTAATCCCAGCACTTTGGGAGGCCGAGGCGGGTGGATCACGAGGTCAAGAGATCGAGACCATCCTGGTCAACATGGTGAAACCCCGTCTCTACTAAAAATACAAAAATTAGCTGGGCATGGTGGCGCACGCCTATAGTCCCAGCTACTCGGGAGGCTGAGGCAGGAGAATTGCTTGAACCCAGGAGGTGGAGGTTGCGGTGAGCCGAGATCGCGCCATTGCACTCCAGCCTGGGTAACAAGAGCGAAACTCCGTCTCAAATAAATAAATAAATAAATAAATAAATAATTAAAAAAGCAATTCCATTTAAAGAGAAACATCCGGGAAATAATAACCAAGGTGGTAGGAATATGGTGAAAAAAATGAAAGAGTCCCAAAGGGACTCAGGGTTGGGCAATACTAATGACACATAGATCCTGGTTCCCTGGCAATTGTTATGGCTATTACTAGTATTTTAATAATATTAGCAGTTACTGTTGATATTTTTGCTATCGTAATTAATAACGTAGTGGCTATTACTGTTATTATTGCTGTAACAATACACCATTGTTATTCTATCATGATGCAGTATACTTCCTTGATGACCTCTGTTTCGCCCTGTCTTCTGATGGGGAACTCTGCAAAGTTGTTGAGGTTATTATGGCCATTATCTTGGGATTTCACCACTACAAAGAGCTGCCCAAAGTTTGGACGGTACGAATCAGGGTGTTACCAGTTCGGTGACAGGTAGGAGGTGGGTCCGAGGAGGGATCGGGTCTGGGAGCTTCCGCCTCCAACTCAAGGCAGGCTGTACAGGATCTGTCCCCGTTGGCGTCCTGGTACCCAGCCTGAGCGCGGCCATGGGCCCGCGTGGCGTGGAGCAGATCCTGTCCCCCTGGCTCGCCCTGGCCGCGGTGGCCGCGGAGGCCTGGGAGCGGGGTCCGCCGGGCTTGCTCCAGCCCTGGCAGGGCTGCGCCGCGCTGGGCCGCTGCTGCTCCAGCCGTGACCCGTTGTGTGTCGCCCGCCTGCCCCCGCGCTGCTTCTGCGACCAAGAGGGCGGCGCGGCGCGGGACTGCTGCCCAGACTACCCGCGTCTGCCCAGGTGCGCCTGGGAAAGGGCAAGGCACTAGAGGAGCGCTCCGAGCGGAGGGGAGCTGGGGAAGGGGATGCGCGGAGGATGGGAGCCCAGCACCTAGGGGGGCTCTGGGCTTGGAGGGGGCACACTAGCATGCGCGGGACGCTTGGGGACTGGAAGGGTGCGCCGCGGGGCAGACGGAACGTGCAGGGGGTCGCGCGGGCAAGAAGGGACTCAGACGCTCAGGACCCAAAGGGGAAGCACAGGCTGTGGCGTTGCGAGAGGAGGAAGACGCGCAGGGTATGAACCTGGGCACGCTCATCTCGGGGGACCTGAAGGAGAGGGACTCGTGGAGAGTTGAGGGGTGTTTTGGAGGCGAAACACAAGGACCGCGCACAGGACTTGAAGGACTACAGGAAGGTGGGGGACTCAGCCCAGGTATGGGACGCAGCGGGTGGAAGGGAAATGGGCGCAAGAGGCGCAGGCAGGAAGGAGAGCACCTGGCGCTAGGGAGGAAGGGACGCACGCAGTGAGGGGTGGGGGGTCGTGAAGCTTGGAGGGCTTCGAGGGGAGGGAGGCTCTTGGGTTGAGGTCGGGTGCCAGATTTCGCAAATCAAAATACAGCATACCCAGTTAAACTAGAATTTCAGATAAGAAAAATGTGTCCTAAATATTGCATGGGATATACTTACCCTAAAAAATTATTGGTTGTTTTTCTGAAATTGAAATCTAACTAGGAATCCTGTATTTTATCTGAGAGCCCTAGCTGGGGGATGGGCGTGGGGCCACAGAACTGCGAGGGAGGAGGCGGTCTTAGGCTTCTTTCAGGCGGAGGGGTCACAAGGTGAATAGAGAAGGTGACGAGAAACCGAGGAAAGGGCTGACACCTGGAGTGCAGGGGTGGAAGGATGCTCAAAGCGGAGGCGGAACGGGCTGAGTGATTCCAAAACTAGGGTGCCCAAGCTGGTTAGAACTCCGACAGGCTGGGCCAGAGGCCGAGGTGCCTGATAGATACGCAGGGTGAAGTCCCTTTGTGGTCCGCGTGCTGGCGGTGGCCACCAAAGGAGTTCAAGCACTCCTCTCGAGTGGTAACCAAGGCGCTCTGAAATTAGGAGCTATTTTAGTTGAGTCATTAGTGGAAAGGACGCTGCCTCACCCCCACCCCCTTCTTCTAGAGCTGGAGTCTTGCTCTGTCACCCAGGCTGGAGTGCGGTGGTGCGATCATCACTCGCTGCAGCCTCGGAGTCCTGGGCTCCAGCGATCCTTTTGTCTCAGCATTCCAAGTAGCTGGATGACAGGCACGCACCACCATGCTTGGCTCTCTCTCCTTTTTAAATACCAGAAGTAAAGATTTCATACCCACTGGAGACAAAAAACTCTAAATTTTGTCACCCTGTAAAGTGGATATGACCCGACTTTCTAATGTCAGGGAGGAAAGTGGTTGGGCTCCTCTACCCTGTGATCTCACTAGCGCTTCCTTCAGGAATTCATGTTTAAAGCTTTAAAAAAAAAATTCATAATGGGTGAGGCACAGTGGCTCATGCTTGTAATCCCAACACTTGGAGAGGCTGCGGGAGGATCATTTGAGGCCAGGAGTTCACGACCAGCCTGGGCAACATTGGGAGACCCAGTCTCTAAAAAATAAAATAAAATAAAAATTAGCCTCAAGTGGTGGCACCTGCCTGTAGCCCCAGCTACTCAGGAGGCTGAGGTGGGAGAATCTCTTGAGCCCAGGAGGTTGAGGCTGCAGTGAGCTATGATTGCAACACTGCACTCCAGCCTGGGTGACAGAGTGAGGCCATGTCTCAAAAATAAGTAAATATACCTTGAGCTTTGGTTCAAACCTGAAAATAAAATAAATAAAAATGTAAGAGACCTAACATCTGTTAATCAACTACCCCTCTGTGCCCAGGAACTGGGCTGGATGTCTGCTTGAAACTAAATACATTCTCCTAGCCCTCTGGGGTTCAGGTATGTAATAATGTCTGTGTTTAGCAGCCAAGAAAAGCAAGGCTCAGAGAGGGGAGGGCTTTGGCCAGTCAAGGATTCCTAGCCGGTGGAAGACCTGGGTCTGATTCTGAGTCTTCCAGCTCCTTGCTCCCAAGAGTCACAAATGTTGGAAAATCAGGCAGCAGTGAGATGTACTTTTGGATGTGGTGTCTTCTCAAGCCATAGGCAAGTAAGAACTCCTTCCAGATTAAATTTAAGGAAGGACTGCCTGGGAGTCCTTTTGTACGGGTTGGCTTTCCACATTCAGAGCCCATGCAGCTGCAGGTCTGTGCAGATTGGAACTGAAGTCCTGGGTTAGCACCACCCACAGGGGCTCCCCTGCCACAGCGCAGGAGTGGGGGCCCCAGGACTGGGGGTCCAGGCAAAGGCATCAGTGATATTTTCCCACAGTCTGACCGACGCCTACAGAATCACACAATGTCATCCTCTCCCAAGAGGTTTCCTTTCTATATGGAGCTAGGGCTGGAGGATCCAGGAACCTTAAAGCTTTGCTTTCACCTTTGTTTTGCTATTTTGGGATCCGCCCCCTTATCTGGGGGAGGGACTTGTGAACAAGCAGAGAAAAGTTCACTTTCCATCTCCCAGGGGAGCAGGCAGGAGGGGATGTGGGGACCAGTTAGGAGGCAAAAGATGGAGAGAACTATTTGCTTTATCCATGAGCTATTTTTAGGAGATACGGTCGACCACCTTCAGTGATTGAGTGTAGTAGAGGGCAATGTTGAAGATGACTTAAAATACAAGCAAACAAAATCCCCAAACAACAAACCTAACATTTACTAAATACCAAGTGTCAGGACGGCACTATTTTAAGTGCTTTCAGTAAATTGTCTCATTTAAGCCTCATAATAACTCTATGAAACAGTGTTATCATGTCCATTTTACAGATGAGGAACTAAGGCCCAGGGAGGTTAAGTGACCTGTTCTGGGTTGCACAGCTAGTAAACAGCAGATCTGGGATTTTTTGAACCCCAGCAGTCTGACTCCAGACATCAATATTGTGTGGCAGCTCACAGATGAAAGAGACTCAGAATGTTAGGAGAGGGAAGGTTGACTTTACAGGTGAAAGGGGACATCTTGACATCTTCCTCCTTTAGTTCAATTAAAACTCTTTCTTTCTTTCATTCTCTCTCTCTCTCTCTTTCTTTCCTTCCTTCTTTCCTTCTTCCTTTCTTTTTCTTTTTCTTTCTTTCATTCTTTCTCTCTCTCTCTTTCCTGCCTTCCTTCCTTCTTTCCTCCTTCCTTCCTTCTTTCCTCCTTCCTTCCTTCCTCCTTCCTTCCCTTCCTTCCCTTCCTTCCCTTCCTTCCCTCCCTCCCTCCCTCCCTCCCTCCCTCTCTCTCTCTCTCTCTCTCTCTCTCTCTTTCTTTCTTTCTTTCTTTCTTTCTTTCTTTCTTCTTTCCTTTCTTTCTTTCAAGACAGGGTTTCACTGTGTCACCCAGGCTGGAGTGCAGTGGTGCGATTATGGCTTACTGCAACTTCTGTCTCCCAGGCTCAAGTGATTCTCCTATCTTAGCCTCCTGAGTAGCTGGGCTTGCACGTGTGGGCCACCATGCCCAGCTAATTTAAAAATTTTTTTTTGTAGAGATGGAGTTTTACCATCTTTCCCAGGCTGGTCTCGAGCTCCAGGGCTCAAGCTATCCTCCAGCCTCAGCCTCCCAAAACTGGTGTCAGTCACCATGCCCAACCTCAATTAAAATTGGTGGCCACCTACTGTGCTCAGCTCAGCTAGAAGCACTGGGGCTGGAAGCAAGGCTGGAGGAGCTCTGGTACCCCTCCAGCTTACTGTCTATTTTTGGGAGACAAGGTAGTTGTGAAAGGAATAAATAATTTCAGTCTGAGCAAGGTGAAGCTTGGAAATGATTGATGAGGATGGGGTGGAGGTGGGGAGAGAGTGGGGCTGGAGTGATTAGTAAGGCCTTGAAGGATAGACACCACTACATTTTCCAAGTTATTTACAGAATGTTTCCATGTATTTTATACGTCTTAACTCTCATCTCAACCCTGTATGGGTTGATGTCCCCACTTAACGTGTTTCCTGTAGAGTTAGTACTCTTACGGTTGTGACACAATTTAACTTAAACTGACAAAGACATTTATGGCTTACGTAACTGAAAGACAACCCAGGGATTCTGGAGCTTCAGGCATGACTGGATTCAGGGGCACCAAGGATGTCATCAGGACTCTCTTTCCATTCTTTGGCTTTTCTTGTGTTAACTTCATTCACAGGCATGCTGTCACCAAGTGGTAGCAAAGATATTGCTCAAAGATATTAGCTCTAAACTGCCATCCCTAGTGGATTAAGAGAGCATCTTTCCCCAGTTCCAGCCAAAATCCCAGGGCTGGTTCTCATGGGCCCAGTTTGGATTAAATGCTCATTGCTGACCCAATCAATCACTGAGCCTAGGGAGAAGGAATATATTAACTGGCCATGTCGGGGTCACATGCCTCATACTAGGAATGAGAGGGTGAGATCAGCCCCGTCCAAACCATGTGGATTGAGAGCGGGGAGGGTTTGGGTCCTCAAAAGGAAACTGAGGTGGTGTTACCAGAAGCTGGGGAAAGGAGGCTGGGAGGGTATTACTGAGCTGTGGGAGACCTCGTGCTTTGGGAAACTTTGGGTAAAGTGTGCTGAGACAGTAAATAGGAGGAGGGCGCAGTAAATAACTGTGGACGAGTGGCAGGAAAATCTAGAATTTGAGGCGCTGAGCTTGGGACAGTCTCCATCTATAGTCCACTATCAAAAAAGGCCTTTTGCGAATCCCCCCAATAATTAATGGGAACCACTGAGGGATTTCAGGGGACAGGCCAGAAATGTATTCTTTTTTTTTTTTTTTTTTTTT